AGACATAGGCATAAAAACTACAATACCCCCGATTAATAGCTATCACATAGAAAAATATTTAGGAAATCACGATCACCATGATCCCATAATCATAGAGGCATTAACCTCATCTATCTTGAAAGGGCTCTTAATATTTTTCTCACTTTTTTTTGTCTCTTCTACATGTGATCTATTCTATTTTAATAGGCTTAGGACTTACATACCTTCTGAGTGAAACCATCAAATTAGATTTATCGCATTTGTAAACTAGAGATTTTTTCTGCTAAACCCTAAACCCTAACCATCCTATCTCACATTAGAAAGCTATAGGTATTGTTGAGTTTCTATGATGCATTGATGATTATCTTTTGAGTTTCAATAGACTTTGGCGAAGGATTTTTTGGAGCCCGAGGTCTCTCGACTTTACTTCGCTGAAGAGAAGTTGAAAGAGTTAGGCCCTTTTCAGAATATGCTTAGCATTTCCTTCTCTGATGGTGATCTCCTATTAAGCACTATTGATCAAAGTTTCTCATTGTACATGAAGACCCTAGTGTACAAAAACTTTCTAAAGTATTAGTGAACCCTGGTGCGTTACTTAATTTAATAAACACCCAAACTCTCAAGTTGCTTTGTCTTAACTCAAGACATTTAGGACATTGCCAAATCATGCTTTATAGTCGTAATGAGAATGATCATGATACCATTAGCTGTTCGCCTTAAATTCTCTAGAAGCAGTATAGAATTTAAGTACCGGACACTTGCTTTGGAGATTTGTGAAGGAATATGTATTCAAAGGTTACTAAATGAGCTGGGATACTCCATAATTAATCCCATAATAATGTTCTGTGAAAGCCAAGCTACCATCAATATTATAAAGAATCATTTACATTAAGACAAGGCTAAGCAAATTAATATTGATAGACATTTTATCTTTGAGAAGGACAATGAAGGAATTATTCACTTAGTCTACATCCCAACTCATCTTCAAGTTTCTAATATCTTCGCGAAATCTCTAAATTTAGGTAGCTTCATGAACTTGAATACCAAGTTGGGCCTCTACAACATTTATGATCCAGCTTGAAAGGGAGGGTGAAATTATATGTTTCATATTTAAATTTCTCCTTATTTATTTCTCTATTATTTTTTTGGAGTTCTTTTTTTACATGTTTGTTGTTTCTTTGGTAAGTTATAATTGTAGGAATTACGCTTTATCTCGATATTAATCTCTATATAATAAGACGAGTGCTAATTTGAAGATTAAGAAATAAGAGAATTTTTCCTCTCATGTTTTCCTTCAGATACCAAGGAAGTTTTAAAAAAAGTTATATAAATTTTAATTTAATGATTTCATATGGTTCCTTTAATTGAATTATAATATTCATAGATATCTAAAAAAGTGTGAATGAGAATGTTTAGATAGATATTTGATAAAATTATGATAAATAAATTCAAGAATAGCTATATTTTAGAAAATTTTGAGTGAAATCTATTGGTAACATGGCGTTTTAGGTTGATTAAAATGGGCTCTCAATGACAATGAAAGTTTGAAATGTGTTCATTATTGGTCAATAAAATTAGCAAAAAAGGTCTATCAAGAAAAATGAGTATAACTAAGTTTACATGGATAGAAATTGTCCAAAATGATTTATGAAGAATATGTATAACACTTCAAACACATACTCAGTATGTTCAATAGAAAATGAGGATTTATAATGTTGAGCCTAAATAGATGGGTTTGATGTCCATTTCTTTTGTTGGTATGTCACAATAATTGAATCATGAGTTCTAGCCTTCCAATGAATAGAATCAATGTTTATTGTAGCCATCAATAGTCATCTAAGCATTTTCTTGAAGGGATCGGCTATTATAAGTCATTTTAACATCCTTGTTTGACTGCATGTACTTGCAGGTTCATTTTAAATTTTGCTCATAGTATGAAATGATTGGAGACCCTTAAACTAAGATAACTTTAAGCATAACCAAAATCAGATTTCTATGGAAAAAAAAGAAGAAAAAAACTTTTGATTATCTAAGTTTATCTTAATCTACGATACAATTTTGGAGATGCCCATGTGTTTTTTTAGCTATAAAAAGCTTAACACTTTGTTGGATACCTCTTAACACATATTAGATATGTCATACACACATCATGCTGCTAAACTATAAAAGTATGATTTGTCATGTTTGATTGATAAGTCGAGTGATTTTAAAATTAAAAATTAGATCATCGAAGAATTAAGCTGTTTACATAAAAAATGTGATAGCACTAATCCTGAGGAGATTTAAGGGACCAAAAGAGAAGAGTGCGATGAGGGAGGGCACACCGACAGAAGAACGTGAAACCTATTTATCCAACTGACTCCAGCTGTTTGAGCCAAACCAGTAAGTCCAAAGCCGACCAAGTCATGAAATACAATTGAATGAGCTGTGTCCGAGTCGTTCAGTAAAAAATGAGATGAAGAGACATTCAAACCAATGACCGTGAAAAAGTCAACTCGAGAGAGGACTCAATCCCTCATCATCTCCAATCATATTAGGGATGTGTAGAAGTCTCCCATCTATTATCAAGGGTCAACAACCAAACTAGATCAGTCGACCAACAAGAGAAACTCAACCTAGCCATTTGAACCATTCTTGTCAACCCATAGACAATCAAACTCAATCGACTAAGAGCATTTGAGCGACAGGTTCATATATATAAAATACCAAGAAGATCATGTACAACCCCTTTAAAGCAGAGACAAAAATATAACATCATCATATTGTTGTCCACTATTGTTCACTCCTCTCTCTGTTTATCTCTCACTTTCCTAACTTATGATCTATTCCTTGGGGGTGATTCACAAACAAATTTGCATTCAACAATTTTTTTTCCAAATTTTATCCAATATATTTTTGTGCTTCTAATTTTCTTTTCCTATTTTGAAAAAAAAGTTGGATATGACTTCTTTGTTGATAGAAAGATTGCCTGCGAGCTTGGTCATGCACGAACAAGTGAGACGGAGCAGCAGTAGGAAATGGTGGCGGAATCATGGGCTGTCCAGCACGATGAAATGGAGGTCGATTAGTGGGCCTTGGAACAAGAGGATGAATTAGTGATCACCAACGGCGACAGGAGGAGAAGGAAACAGAGCTTCCTTGCCACCGACAAACTTCTTGCTCCTACCGGACAATGCTCGCCGATGGTGTTGTTACTTCTAACAAAAAGATTTTAGTTTTTAGGCGGTGTTTGGCGGCAACAAGGATTTAAGTTAAATAGGTTTATTAAATCCGATGAATGTCAGCAATGGAAAAGGAGCTCGAATAAAGGACGGAATAATTCCTTAAATCCGGCTTGTAATCCGATTTATTAAAACAGTGTTTACGTCCTTAAAAATTCAGAAAGCGAAAAAGCAAATAGAATGCCAAAAAAAATGATTTAATGAAGCATTAGATTTAGGTTTAATTTTTTTTTTATTTGATTGGATTTAAGTTAAATCCATTGACTAAATCCATTAATAGCATGCTACCTAACACCAATAAGCCACTTTATATGTGAAATATATAATATTAAACATTTTGGGGGCTATTAATGTAAAATAATGTAAATCCTTCTAGCTTTTTCTTAAAAGCACTAAAATTATTTAAAAATTAATTTAAATATTTTTAAAAACACATGAACATGTTATATTGTACATTTAAAATTTAAATTTAAATAAAGCAAAATAAAAATAAAAATAAAAAGGGGTGCCTTTTTATTTGTTGCGTCAATATGCAAAATTTTTTCTGTGCGGACTCCTGACGTAGCTCTATGTGCGGCGCAGTGTATTCCTGAATTATTTTTAGGTTATTTTTGGGTTATTTCGGGATTATTGAAAATAACCCAGAAATAATCTAAAAATAACTCAGGAATACCCTACGTATGTAAATGTACGTCAAATGTCCGGATAGAAAATGTGTCCGTCAATATGACCCGTTCACCGAAAAGATATGGATTGCATACTTTTCCATCTACCATTCCATTTGACTCACGTCAATGTATTAATGGCTGACGGAGACGCTGGAAAACAGACTTCTAGGAGTAAGAGGAATTCGAGCCCTTTACTAATGATTTGTAAAAATTTTAGAAGCTAATTTAATTACTTCCAATCATAAATTTTTTACCATTAGAAGGACAATATAATGTATAGGTCTTTATACTCCTTTTGTTATGATTGAAATTATCTATAAAGTTTCATGCAAAAATTAAATTTTTTATACCTTGTCTTAAGAAAATCAGATTAATAATGTTTTTTTACAACGATCACGAGTGTCTGAAAAAACTTGTGGCAACAAAATCTACAATATTTATGGTAATTTTTTTTAAGAAAATCTAATAATAATTTCTTAACCATTTTAATAGGTAGTCACACCGTCTCCCCTAATGGCTCTAACTGTTAGAAATCTTGACCCTCAAAATTCTCAAGAAAATAACAAAAATTAGGGGCATTAATTCTTATGTAACATATATATAGCACTCAAATCATTAATATATAAAGTCAATAATTCATTAATATTAACTTTTACAAAAAAAAGAAATACATAATACCAAAATATTATAAATATAATATAAAACTTTTAGTTATATATATATATATATATATAAGAGATAGCATATAAGGAAGAAATATTAAATTTCTTCTAGCATCTATGGTAGAATATGAACACAGTTGATTACTAGGTTTAAAAAATCATATTGGGTTAGATGAATAGAATGTTCTCTTTTTTTCCTAATTTAGAAAATATTATGAGCATGTGAATTTGAGCATCACCTCGTTAAGACCAACTGTGTCAGAAGAGATTCAAACTGCTGACCTGAGAGATCTTATACTGTGGATGCCAACCAACAGACCATGATACACGACACAAAAAAAAATTGTGTAGCATGCAAGTCAATTTACTTAAGAATTAACAATAACTAAACCATAAAGTGGTAACTATCCATAAAATAAAACTACAAAAAATACTTGAGATCGAACGCAAACTTTACAAGCATAACGAAGAAAAGTAACGCAGTCCTCTTACTGGCAAGAAAACGATCGCTAGAGTAAAGCTCAAGGATCGAAATGTCGCACTCCAACAACGGGCCTCCAATCATCACAAAACTCCGAACACAACATATCAAAATTATAATAAAAAAACAATTGTACTAAGAATCAAAACTACTTCGCTTGCTGCTGCCTCGGCTTCATCTTCCACCTCCTTGCTGTTGGAATGCCACACACCACCAAATTTGTCCCCGAATGATTGCTTTCTGATCCTTTTGAGATTGATTAGCTTTCAAGTGAAGGAAGAGAAAGGAGAGAGCTTTTATACCTTCTTCCAGTTTTAATTTCCCAATATATTGATGAAATAATCACTGGTAAGATGTTGGGAGAAACTTACAGTGGAGCCTTAACTAATTGAGGTGATTCCAGTTACCGGCTAGCAATCCATGGCTTTTTGTGACATGAAGGTGAAGGGGTTTCTGCTACTGCTGCTGTGCCTCTCAGGTTTTCAGGTCAGCCATGGCGCCACAGATCCTCAGGATGGTTGGTTAAGCTTCTAACTCATCTTCTTAAGAAAGAAGAAAGAATTTGGATGAATGGAAGAGTTCTGAATCTCATATACTGAATATGTGATACTGCAGCTGCTGCTCTCTTATCTCTGATGAGTCTGTGGACGAATACACCACCAAGCTGGAGCAAGTCTGATGATCCTTGCGGCACAAACTGGGATGGAGTGGTTTGCAATGACTTAAGGGTCACTGTGCTGTAAGTGATTCAAGGAATTTTTGAGACATCGTTGTACTCTGCTGCTTGTCTTGAATAAATAAAACGTCATTAGATCTGTTTGAAATGTGTGCGATATAAGGAAAATCAATCGATTTTTATTTTAAACTTTTCTCAAAACAAGTCCAAGAAATTTAAAACTCAGCCAGATTAAATTCTGGTTAGATAATCCTCATGTTCGATAATTTTCTGTTCAATCACTGTAGGAAACTGTCTACTATGGGCATCAAAGGAACTGTGAGTGGTGACATAGGTCAGTTGACAGAGCTCCGATCTCTGTAAGTCTTTCTTCTCAAAGCTGTCTATGATGTTGTGATATGTTCATTCAGAAGAATCCCAGAAAATCTAAACAGATTAAATGAGTAAATAAGAAGTGGAAATAATTGAGCAGCAGATATTTATGATGTAAGGTCTAACTGCAGAGACTTGTCCTTCAACAAAGAGCTTGGCGGTCCACTGAGTCCTAATTTTGGGAATCTGAAGCAGCTCACAACATTGTAAGTCAGGAAGGTTTAATCTCTTTAGAGATTTTTTTTTTTTTTTGACCTTAACATCAAAGTTAACCGAATTTAATCTCTTTAGAGATTTTTTTTTTTTGACCTTAACATCAAAGTTAACCGCCTTTGCTTCTGTCTATTAAAAGGATCCTGGCTGGCTGTGGCTTCACTGGTGAAATCCCAAGCGAATTAGGCAACCTGAAGCAGCTCTCCTTTCTGTAAGGATCCCCATGGTTAATCCTGTAATTATGGCTGTCAAAAAAGCTCTTTGTTCACAAACAGCTCGTGTTTGACTCGTTCGTTAAGTAAACAAGCCGAACACAAATAAATTTTGTAAGCTTGAAACAGGTCGAACATGAACAGCTCTTCGTTCGCTCATGTTCGGCGCGTTTTAGCTCGAAATAAAAAAAATCATATAATTATTTATATAATAATATATTGTATATATTTATATTTAAGTTTAAATTATCACAACTCTTGTGGTAATGTGGTTATGCGTTTTCTTTTGCATAGATTTGATATATATTCGAATCACGTACTCCACATCTATTTTTTTCTAATTAATTTTAATGAGTCAATTTTGAGCAGAGCACAAAAAAGAATATTTAAATCAAACCGAACATGAACACAGTGTTCAGCAGCCAATTTCGAACACGAGCCGATTTCAAACACGAGCAATTTCGAACAAGCCGAACACAAACCAAGCCTGAGCTCGCTCAAGCTCGACTCGTTTACCTCCCTACTTGTAATATACTTATTTCAGTGATTTCGAACAGCATATTCAATTTTTTTCCATTTTATAATCTACAGAGCTCTGAACTCAAATAAGTTTAGTGGTAAGATTCCGGCTTCACTAGGTGGCCTCTCCAATTTGTACTGGCTGGATGTTGCAGATAATCAGCTAAGTGGACCTCTACCTATCTCAACAGACAAGGCTCCTGGACTGGATCAGCTTCTCCACACTAAGCACTTGTATGCTTCTTTCTGGAAATGAAATAACTAATTATTAACCGAAATGAGGCTTTCATATGTGATTCTTTCCTTATATAATTGGTTTGATACTTTTCTGGTGTCTAAGCAGCCACTTCAACAAGAATAAGTTATCAGGCAATATTCCAGACAAACTCTTTAGCTCCAGAATGTCACTGATACACTTGTAAGAAACTTCATTCTCTATATTTTGTTTCATCAAATCAGATTATGTTTGTAATCTGAAACCAATTATTTTTACTGTTCACAGATTGTTTGATGGAAATCAATTTACAGGAAAGATTCCAGTTTCTCTAGGACTGGTTCAAACGCTTGAGGTTATGTGAGTTTTATCCATGATAAATCTCTTTAGTTGCAAAGAATAATAGTTTTGTAATTTTAATTTATCTTAAGAATGCTGTATCTGCTCTTCCAACAGACGACTTGATAAGAATTATCTAGATGGACCAGTGCCTGAAAACATTAACAATCTTACACTGATCACTGAATTGTAAGCTTTTACAAGGTTAAAACCTGAGACATTGCTGAGTGTGTTAGAATTAATTCTCGTTCCCTTTCTGCTGCTGCAGTAACTTGGCAAACAACAAACTAGGTGGCCCTTTGCCGGATTTGAGTGGAATGTCAGCTCTTAATTACGTGTATGCACTCATTTGAACACCATAAAATGCATTTTCAGTCAAACTTACTATTGAAAAACAAGTATAACTCCAGTCATTTATTATGCTATGCAGAGACATGAGTAACAACTCCTTTGATCCTTCAGAAACTCCAGCTTGGTTCTCAGAATTATCATCCCTTACGGCTCTGTAAGTTCCTTGGAATCATATTTTACTCGATCGATAAATAATTATATCCGTTTTTCCAGTTCAATATGATGCTTTTTATTCATAAACAACTTCGTTAAAAACACTAGTTCATAATCAGAGTCATTGAATCTGGAGGAATTCATGGAGAGGTGCCAGAAAAGCTATTCAGTTTTCCACAATTAGAGCAAGTGTAAGCGGAAAGCCTCTCCTTTGTAGGGGAAATAACATAAATGAAACAAGAATTGATCCATGAAGCCAATCTAACATTTTGCAAACTTTTGACAGTATACTTGACAACAATCAATTTAATGGCACTCTCACCATGGGCGATCCCATAAGTGACCAATTGCAAATTGTGAATTTCAGAGACAATCTTCTCAGCTCATTCACAGTGACCTCTAAATATAACAAAAGCCTAATGTAAGAAGATGCTTCCAAAATCTTTTCTATGTACATGATGAGCAGGTGAAACCTTACTGCTCTAATCTGTATTCGTGTGCTTTGTTTATCACAGACTCATTGATAATCCTGTATGTGATACTCAGTTATCAAACACAGTATATTGCCGTCCACAGCAAGAGGAAGATTCACTACCCTATTCTACAAGTACTACCCATTGTGGGAAGATATCATGTGAAATAGGACAGAGTCTAAGCCCTCAGAGCTGTACTTGTGCCTACCCTTATCAGGGTTTGATGGTTTTTCGAGCACCTCGATTTCGAGATCTCACGAATACTACATTGTTCCAATCACTTGAGAGTAGTCTTTGGATGAAACTTGGTCTAACACCTGGTTCAGTATTCCTTCAGAACCCCATGTTCAATAGTGATAGTTATATAGAGTTACAAGTTATGCTGTTTCCATCGGATGGAATGTACTTCAATAGATCAGAGGTTCTAAGAATTGGATTTGATCTGAGCAATCAAACATATAAGCCTCCACCCATGTTTGGCCCCTACTACTTCATTGCGAGCCCATACCCATTTCAAGGTAACTATTTAATTGTCCATTTGACAGATCTGACAAAAGTAAGACAAAGTACTTATAAAATCATGAAAATGTTTACTGCAGATCAGGGTAGAAAGTCTTCAATGAGTACAGGTTTGATCATTGCCATAGGAGTTGGTTGTGCACTTTTGTTTGTGGGACTTGTAGGAGCAGGGATCTATGCAGTTTTACAAAAGAAACGAGCAAGGAAGGCCATCGAAATAAGCAGACCATTTTGTATGTTTCCTGTTAAGCATTCTGTGTGCAATCTAGTAGTGAATGTTCCAAGTGACCGAATTTCTTATATGGTATTATATAGTATCAAATGGTCCCCCCATCATTTATATGTGGGGTGGG